CATACTTTGATGGTTGTATTACACAACATTATCAGATCATCGATTCTTATCATTCATTATTATATCATTGTAAGGATTCGTCGAAATATATTTCTAAATATCGAATCCTTGATGGTATATCAGATTGCTTCTTGAAAGATGATGAACAAGCATTATCTGAATTAAGTTGTTTATTAAATCAAAACTCTCAATTTCAATGTCCAAACGAGAAACAGTGTCGATCACGCTTTTTCCCAACAATTTTTTGTTCTCTTACAATACAGATAAATCACGATGATATTCCATTTTATAAAATATGTGATCGAATCAAGGATTCACCCGTGGTGTTGATTGGTGAACGAAATCATTCCGATGAAACTGATTGTGAAAATTGGCAGTGCAATAATATCAACACACGATGTGATGGTTTTCGAAACTGTGTAAACGGTGAGGATGAAGAAAATTGCACACAATCGATTGATATAGAGCATATACTTTTCTGTATATCGCCGCATAACTATACAATGCAATGTTTACCAGCAGATCAAATTAGTGGTGAAGCTGTTGATTGTTTTAGAGCATCTTTCGATGATTTTAAATACCTTATTGTGGCTAATATCACCTTTCAAATGTACAAATTTCGTTGTTGGATTGATACAGAATGTATAGAAGACGAAAACCTTTGCAATGCAAATGAAGATTGTCCTGTATATGATAATGAGCTACTTTGTCTTAATCGTTCACAATTATGTTATCACTCTGATTTTGATAAGCTTCTCAATATGCAAGACATTTCTTGTCAGGTCATTAATAAACCTTATCTTTCTTTTTCATTGGACACTGCATTAGATTATCCATCGTCGTATACTATTCAGAATAAATCCGTTGAAAACCAGATTCATGATAAAATGATAACTTCATCGTTGGTTAAGAGTAGTATACAGTCTGGGATTTGTAATTTTGGTTTATATGTTTACCATCGACTTGAAATCGATAAGTACAGTAGTATATGTTTTTGTCCCCCAAATTATTATGGTGATCGATGTCAGTATCAAAATCAACGTGTCAGTCTTACCTTAACATTGGCAACTGTTAGACAGCCAACTACTTATATCATTGTTGTTATGTTGATAGAAGATGACAACGATCGACAAGAAATTCATTCGTATCATCAATTCACTTATGTACCATTAGAACATTGTGGTAAATTTGTGAATTTCTATCTATTATATTCGAAGCGTGGAAAGAATAATTCAAAAAACTACAGTATTCGTATTGATGCATTCTATAAAGACTCATTGTCACATCTAATAAGTTGGCATTTAACGATTCCATTCGTATTTTTACCAGTCAATCGGATAAGTGCTTTTTTAACTCTTCCGATTTCTCGAACATTCAATCCTAAACACTGTACTCTTCAATGTTATAAAGGTACTTGTGTGAAATATCATAATGAAGAACGATCCTTCTGTCAATGTTATTCAGGTTGGTCTGGTGCACAATGTCACATTCCAATCGATTGTAGTATGTGTCCATCAAATTCGATTTGTATCGGCTCGATTCAAAATCGATCAATCTGTGTCTGTCCTCACGGAAAATTCGGTTCCTTTTGTCGTCTTCAACTAATATGTCCAATAGGATTCTGCAAAAATAATGGTCGTTGTATAGTAACCGATGAGAGAATGATTGATGTAAGCTATAGATGCTTTTGCTCTGAACAATTTTTTGGGCCAAGATGCGAAAATGTTAAACATAAAATAGATATTTCTCTTGAAAATATCGAAACTCCATTGTATTTACTCGTCTATATCTATACTGAGATTAGTTTCGAACGATTACCACCAAGATTTGTTATACTCCGAAAAATGACTATGTTTCAAACTAGTGTCGCCGTGTACTCGGAAGCTCAGTTCCAGATGGTTATTGTCAAGATTGATAATCGTTATTATTTGGCTGTACTTCGAAAAGTTGAATCATCCAACATAGTAACCTCCATCAGTCCCGCTCAACGATGTGTTCCAATTCATGAACTTTTAACCGCTCAATTACTCTCATTGCCACGAATTCAACGATTGAAAAGCTATCATATTCCATGCCAAGATCATGTTAATCTACAATGTTTTGTCGATGAATTCTACATGTGTTTGTGTACGGAAGAACGTCATAGTAATTGTTTTCCATTAGAGCATCAACAGACTTTTGCCTGTGAAGATAATGTTTATTGTGAGAATGGTGGAACATGTCTACAAGATCGACGTGTATGTTTTCTTAATATCCTGTGTGTATGTGCTGATTGTTTCTTTGGTAATCGATGTCAATTTTATGCCAAAGGCATTGGACTGACATTAGATGATTTTTTACGTTATGAAATTCGACCTAATAATACATTAAATGATCAACCACTGGTTATTAAGTTGAGTGCAGTTACTGTTATGATTTTATTTCTAATTGGTTTATTGAATAGTTTTTTTGGTTATTTAGTTTTTCATAATCGTAATTGTCGAAAAGTTGCTTCGGGAATTTATCTTCGATTATCATCAATTATTTCTACACTCGTAGTTAGTATGTTAATCATTAGATTTTGGTTTGTAACATATACATATATGAATCTATCGATTAATCGAAAAATTCTGCAAATTGGATGTTTATTATTTGAACCAATGCTTCGTTTTTTTCTACATATGAGTAATTGGCTTAATACTTGTGTAGGTATTGATAGAGCAATGGCAGTTTTTCAAGGAACTAATTTTAATAAGAAAAGAAGTCGATGTATTGCACGATGGATTATTTGTCTTTTACCATTTCTTATTTTAAGTTCAATGATTTATGAATTTATTAATCGTGATTTGTTTGATGATTATGAAGAACGACGTGTTTGGTGTGTAGTTCGTTATTCTAAATCAATTGAACTATATACGAATATTGTTCAATATTTTCATTTTATTGCTCCGTTTTTAGCGAATTTAATTTCAGCTATTATTATTATTATATATATAACTCGTCTAAAAACGACTGTTCAGTCTCAATTTAGTTCTCAACAACAATTACTCAATCAAATCAACCAGCATAAACAACTTGTTATCAGTCCTATTATCTTAGCTATTCTATTATTTCCTCGTTTTCTCATTTCATTATTATCAACATGTATTAAATCATCTCAAAATCCTTGGCTGTATCTTTGCGGTTATTTTGTTTCATTCATTCCATCATCGTTTATCTTCGTCATATTTGTTTTACCATCGACTTTCTATAGGAAAGAATTCATAAAAACAATTACTACTTGGCGGCAACGATTTATGAGAGCTATTAGAGCTTGGCAATAAACAAAAATATCTTGAGGGTGTGGGTGTGAATACCAAAGATACAATACACCCACATCCGCTCTAGTTACATTCGCTGTTGACTCTGCAATCATGACGGATATATTAATTAATATTCATTTGAGAAATTTATTGAAATTTTTACTGTAAATAGAGACAATTTAGATCTACTATCGGTATAAATATTATCGATTTTTCTTTTAAGTAAAGTGAAGTTATTCGAAAAAATATTGACCATTACGGAATTTTATTCTTTTTTCGGAAATGGCAGCTTGGATCAATATAGTCACCTAATTTTCATCAGCATTGTTTTCTATATTAAACAGTATATTTTTTGTCGAGGTCTGAGAAAATGATTTTTTGAGCATTTTTTATTAGAGAGATTTTCAGAAAAAGTCAAAACTAATATTTTGAAGAATAAACCATTTTGTTTCGGTCAGAATTTGATGTCGATTGGAAATATATTTCATTACATGCACATTTAACAAGAAAAAAACAGGATAAAACGCTTTATTGTCATAAAACCGTTTCATTTTTGTATATTGATGAGATTTTGTAACGTATGATTTCTGGAGCACGTATGAAAGTAAGAAATCAACCTCTGCTGAAACCGAGTCTATTTGATAGAGCTCCTTGAGTTCTATTTAGAAATAGCAACATGCGTGAGAACAACATACTACAAACAAGTTTCATAAAAAAATGGAAATGGTTTATAATAGTATTATTTTATTACGTAGATATCTAACACTTGTGCGACAGCCATGTATTGAAAGACAATGTTATATTCCATCGACTGGTATCTAATAAGCGAATCTTCATTATACCTGTTACGATTTTATCTCGATGTTTTCCACTGCTATCAATTTACTCTTATTTTCGGATTCGTTGCTTCTAGAGAGACCAGGTGTGTGTATGTACAGCCAAAGTTAGATACTTTCATAATTTGTAAAATAAACTAAAATGACCAAGAAAAAGTAGATCTGTGTATAGTTTTGCTCTGATATTTCAACAGAACCTCTCGAAATATATACTGCACTAATCAGTTGATATTTTTGGAGTGGCATGAATTGATAAGTTTAAAACTAACAATGAGATAATTAATAATCGCAAAGAGATATTAAATAGAAATTGTCTTATTGTTGATTTTCCGTCGTTAAAATACATATTCATATAAAAATAAGATAAATTGAATGTAAATGTTTTGTTTACATCATCAACATCCTCATCCTTATTCTCGTTCGTTCGTCTATCTGATATGATTATCGATTTTGTTTCAGATTATTTGTTGTTGTTATTTACAGGTATAATCATCTATGCCATTCACGAACTTATTACGAAGTCGTTTTGTAACCAAAATGTTTCAATATACATTCTGAATCCAATGAATACTATCAAAACAATCAAATATTATGAAAAATTACACTACAAAACCATAACAGAGCATTTGAGAGGATAATCAAAGTTATTGTATTAGTTGTAAGTTTTGTTAATCATAATGAACTAATATATAAGAGCAGAAAAAAGATATATTTTTTTATTTGTGATAAAATATTGAAGTGTGTGATAATTCAGTAAAAATATGGAAGGAAATAGTTCGCGGACGTCATAAAATGAGAATTAATCTAGTTAAAGTATTGTTGGAATTTGGTTGACTTGCAAGAAAATGAATAAAATAATTGAAAGTTAATTTGTTTGAAATAATTAATATAATTCTGCACTATTTAAAACAGCATTATTCGATCCACCAGTAACTAATACTATTCCATTTAATAATACAGATGCTGTGTGCCACTCTCGCGCATTATTCATGTTACTACTAGTTGTCCAAGTGCTTGTTAATGGATCATACAATTCAGCACTATTTGACAAACTAAAATTATTGTCTATTCCACCAGTAACTAATACTTTTCCATTTGATAATACAGATGCTCTGTGAAATTGTCGTGCATTATTCATGTTACCAGTAGGTGTCCAAATACCTGTTGATGGATCATACAATTCAGCACTATTTAAATAACCAGTATTACCAACTCCACCAGTAACCAGTACTTTTCCATTTAATAATACAGATGATGTGTGATACTCTCGTGCATTAGCCATGTTACCAGTAGTTGTCCAAGTACCTGTTGATGGATCATACAGCTCAGCACTATTTAAAGCACTACCACTACTGTATCCACCAGTAACTAATACTTTTCCATTTGATAATACAGATGCTGTGTGATAAATTCGTGCATTATTCATGTTACCAGTAGTTGTCCAAGTACCTGTTGATGGATCATACAGCTCAGCACTGTTTAAAACACCACTATCCCATCCACCAGTAACTAATACTTTTCCATTTGATAATACAGATGCTGTGTCAGTCAATATTATTATTTCTCATGTTGTTCAATAAACGACATTTAGAAGCAAAAAGAGAATTTTAAATTCATTTAACAATATAACTGATTAATCAATAAAATATTTCTACCGATTAATAATCAGTGTAGTATGATCATCAATTGCTTTACAAGATCCTTCACCCATAAGTACAATATTTGTCATTAAACGAGTAAATAATAATAAAAATGGTGAATCATTTATCTCACATCGTTGAACTTTGATATCGATTTCGAATACAGATATTGTTGGATATACATTAATACCAATCATTGTTTCTTTTCTTGGAATATCGAATTGATTTTGAACAGTTAATTTAATATTCGACAATGGTAAAATTCGAATATTAGAAGATAATATATGTAGAATCCGAATTCTGTAATTTAAACAATTCTTTTCTTTTGATTCGATTTGAATATGTTTCACAGTTAATGGACGATTAAATCGAGCATCAAATGTACAATCTGTTGAGCTAGAACATGTTTTATTATATAATTTATGGCTAAGTTTAATTGAAAACTGATCACGTATAGATGATAGAACAAGATCATGATATGTATTAACTGTAATTGATGATTATTGTGACGTAAGTGAAACATTAAATGAATTATTCATTGAAGTTTCTGCATTATAAATTGATCTTGATATATTTAGCATAAAATGTATTTGAATGGTTTTTCGTAAATAGTTGACCAATACAAGAAACAATAAAAAAAATAATTAAAAGAATACTTATTAAACGAATAAATTGTCTTGTTCGTTGTAATATTGGAAGAAAAAATATTGTAGGAATAACAACAATACTACAAATAATTATATTACCGTAATATGTCCATCCAGATGAAAATAATAGTGTTAACATTGGAATAAAAATATAAAGTATTCGACTGACTATTTCAATTGTATGTATTAAAGGAAAAAAAGATATTAACAATGGTAAATATAATTGATGAAAGTCTTTTTCAAAGACTTGTTTCCAATGAAGAATAAATTCAATAATAATAAGAATAAGATATCATGGACAAATAAGAGTTATAAAAAGATTGAGAATTAGAATAAATTGAAACAATCATCAATAAACTATAAATGATAAGAACAGAAAAATTTTATTCAAATATTTATTATTCTATTCATTTGAATTTTGAGAAGATTTTCGAAGAATACAAAGATGTAATAGATCAAATATAGATTGAAAAATAATAAAACCAATTAAACATGGTAAAATAAAAAGAAATATGGCTAATGTTGAATTACCATACCATGAAGTAGGTTGAATTATTGATATAATCCATGTTAAAATCAATGAAAATACAAGACCAACAATCATAGATAGAATATTAGAAATAATACGAATAATCAATGGATTTTTAAGTCGAAAATAAATTAATCTTTAAAATATTTCTTAATTGAAATTAACTACCCAAAAAACGATGATTAAGCGGTATTTATTGTCGATTTTCGAAATCACCTCGACGTGGATATATTCTCTCTTTGTTAATAACGTTAGAATGCACATTATATTCTTCTCGATCATCGTCGCTGACTAGACGAACGGAAAAGAAAAATGTGTTATCACTTGATTTTGTTAAGAGAGAAAAACGAATTTATTTATTATAAATTTTTAGATCAATGACATGATAAATTCCATTGAAATATTTGATTATCTCGATGGTTGTGATATTTATAAAGCATTTTCAAATCTTAATTCTTCATTACTTTTATATAAAATTAAATTTGATTTTATAGCTGATGATTTATTTCTGAATAATTATCAGCATATGAAATCTATTAATCCACATCAGATTTTTTCACTTAATTGATCATCTGAATTCTATATTGACAAATTTCTATCATCATTTAACATCGATTCATCACTTGATCGTCTTCAATCAATTTATCTTCGAAATATTCAACCAAATACACTTTTAATACTTCTAAAGAATTGTATTCATTTACCACGTCTTATGCCATTTCATCAATTAATAGATCTATGTCAAATTTATTTACTAATTTTTACTTTACCAAAATTAAAATATCTTAAAATAATATCCCATCAATTCAAGGACCCTGTCCCATTACCATTTGCTACTGACAATCAACAATTGAGTATGATTGAACATCTGATTATTGACTATTCTATAACATTCAGCGAACTTGCTGCTATACTTTCGTATATACCTAAAGTTTATCATTTGAATTTTTGGCATCGAGATATAAATTATCCACTAATTCAAATGATTTCAACAATCGCATTATCGAAATTAACACATACATCAATGAATATATCATTTTTAGAGTTTGATGAATTCGAAATATTTTTAAGTAAATTACCTTCTACTCTTAAAAGTTTCAATTTAGTTTATACTGAAAAAGAATTAGAATACCTTGATTTTGATATGTCGGAACAACTGATTCTACAAAATTTTCCTCAATTAGAAAAGTTTTATTTCAATTATACTGTATATACATATGATGAAGATGAATTTATCTTTGATGGTTGTGTATGTGATCAATTTATTTCTTCATTCTGGATTAATCGACAATTGTTATTGAACCTGAGATCATTTCTCTTTTTATGAAACCATACAGGTATGTTTATAAAACTCATAGAAGAAAATATCAACTAAGGAACTTCTCGATTACAGTATTAATTACAACTACTTTTTATGTTATATGATTGTTTCTTTTAGAAAAAAATGGTATGGATTTATTAATATTGACAACGATTTCAATGTTAATCATTTAACTCTACTTACTATTCGAGATATTTCTATGGATGAATATACAGGGACATTTAATAAAATCGAATGGATTATAGATGTAGCAACGATTTATCATTTGGAAATTTGTGATGGTGTTTTTATTGGTGCTATTATCGACTTTATGAGGGTGTGGGTTTCGGTATGATATAAGAAGAAGGATACAATCTATCCACACCCATATCAAATCCTTATTGTCAAAACATGGAGCTGATTTTAAAAAGCGTTACAGTACAAGAATAAAACTTTAAACATAATAAAACAGGACGCAAATTAAAGATCTAACATCAGAAAAAAGCTTTTAGCGCAATTCCTGGTAGGATTAAAATGTGAAACACGATCTTACTGTGTCTCTACCTTCAAGACGATGTTTTAATCGTATCATTATGAAGCGATTGTTATCTCATTCTACGGTATAAGGGCATCGAAAAATCAGAACGAAATAATTTACATATGTTGAAGTCACTTGATTAGCATTTTAATAATTTAATTTGATGAAGAATTTATTGATGAATTATGATGACGAATGTTTACCCTTTATAATATACTAAATATCAATAGAATAATAAGAAGAAAGATGTTTATAAAAAATATTGCCATTATTCCAAATGATATCTTTTTTAAACTTATTTTCCGTTACTAAACTTATCTAATAAACTGTTTCACTAGAATTGATTGAATATAATTTGGGTAGAAGAATATGTGCTAACACATAATATAATACATCATATTGAATAATTTGGTATAATTAATAAACAAACTAATATTATTGTGTAAGAATATTTAACAACTATTTGTTTAGATTTTAATTTTATTGTATAAAAAATCTAAAAGAAGATTATTTTCAACTTAGTTTCTATTTATAAATAAATCAAAACTTACAATAGGAAGAAGACAAGTTAACTATAATACAATAAAAATAATATTTTAATGAAATATTACAAAATCTATTCAAATTTGTCATTGATCAACAAATGAATATGGATCATGAATTACGTAAAAATATAATGAAAATATGTATATTATATGATAATAATATTATTGTATCGAAAAATGCAACATTTGGGTGTGGATGCCCATTATTCATTTGTATCCTTAAACATCCTCAAATTTTATTAAATATATTTTTTACTCTGTCCAAGAATAATGTTTTTCAAACTATAATGAAGAGAGTATGAATATAATAACTAAATCTTTTATTTGTCTTCAGAAAAATGTATATAATGAATGAATTCTTATAGAAAAATGATCTAGTAAACATGAATCTGTTCCATTCATGTTTTCTTTTACTATCGTCAATCAAACAAAATCACATAACTGATAATGGATTTAAGTTCGATTGAAGAAATATTTTAATTTCAGATGTGATGAAAGAACAAAAGAAAAGAGTATTCGATAAGCATGAAAATCTTGAGGGTGGATGTAAGTTTGACTACTAAGGATCACCAACATCCACACCAACATCCTCTATTCGAACATTTTCGACCAAACTCAATCACTCCAAGATCCTCAAAACATTCGTTACGAATCCGGAGTCTGTTGATTCTTCCTTGTAAAAAAAAGGTAGAACTTGGACTATTATGTAGACAGAATCAAAAAAAATAAATATTAAGATAAGAGTATAACAACACCTTTGACGTTGGAGATAATATTAGTTATTTTCTGTTATTTACGTGAGAGTAATAGACAAACAGTAAGTAACTCCGAACAATAGTGTGTTCTTTTTTTTGCGCTTGAGTTTCATCTGAAACGTAATATGCACACCAACAAAGTGTACAGAGAACGTGTTACTGTAAATAATGGACCACACAAATGGTGGCACCATCGTTGGTTCAAAATAATTGGCATTTCCGTTATTGTTTTAATAGTTTTTGCTGTTATTCTTGCCCTGGTGTTAAACTTCGTCGTTTTTGCACCGAAGAAATCAGAAACTAGTACCACCGTCTCAACATCATCATCATCACTAACAACAACAATATCAATACCACCGTCATCATCAACAACAACATCACTAAAGACGCCGATCACAACTTTACCACAAACAACAACAACAACAACCACAACTCAGCAATCAGGTAAGCTTCACAGTAACGTTTTCCATCCTCCTTAAATGATACTTTTAACTGAAAAGTGAACAGAAAGAAATCATTTTGTCACAAAGACGCGTACGCATATCTGTCACGCACGGTATTTTCGCGCATGGAAATGCCAATAAGTTCTCCTTCACTCTCTTCCGTGTGTAAATATAAATAGCTGTATTTGCGTATTATTTATTAGTTTATCCGTCATCTCTGATTGTTTCTTCTACTCTTTGGATAAGCCAGAGTCCAGGTTTCGAACACGATAGGATGCAGTCTGTATTCTTTGATCATGATAAATCACCGCATTTCTTAGTCTGGAATAGTGCTGTAAATGCAGCCGTATCTAGACACCGTTTCCAACTGCGAAAATTCGTACGAAACGAACCGGAAAAAGAAACGAAGTCCGCTTTTCCTTTACCTAGGGAGTTTCATTAAATGACTATCATCAGTAGAAGCTGTATATAATAAAAAAGTGCATTAATTCTTAGAAACATTGTAACGGCAAGTATAAAATACAAACTTATTTTAAAAGCAAGAAACGATTTTCATTTTGCAAAATCTAAAACTTTCCGCACATGATTTCATCATTTTGAGAGTTCCACAAGAGACAGTCTTTCCAGAATGAATACAATCAAATGTTTCTATCTAGAATGGTCTGTTACTGGTAATATGACTAATGCACGCTATATGCACACAGCATCTGTATTATCAAATGGACTGGTATTAATTACTGGTGGTCAAGACGATAGTGGTAATATTTTAAATAGTGCTGAATTGTATGATCCATCAACGGGTACATGGACAACTACTGGTAACATGACTAATAGACGGAATTCCCACACAGCTTCTGTATTATCAAATGGAAAAGTATTAGTTACCGGTGGACAAGGTAATGATTATTTAAATAGTGCTGAATTGTATGATCTGTCAACAAGTACTTGGACAACTACTGGTAGCATGACTTATACACGAGTTTATCACACAGCATCTGTATTATCGAATGGACTAGTATTAGTTACTGGTGGATGGAATAGTAGTACTGTTTATAATAGTGCTGAGCTCTATAATCAATCGACAGGTACTTGGACAACTACTGGTAACATGCATAGTGTACGACAAGATCACACAGCATCTGTATTATCAAATGGAAAAGTATTAATTACTGGTGGAGGAGTAAATAGCATTAGTGCTTTAAATAGTGCTGAGCTGTATGATCCATCAATAGGTACATGGACAACTACTGGTAGCATGGCTAATCCACGAGTTTATCACACAGCATCTGTATTATCAAATGGGCTAGTATTAGTTGCCGGTGGGTACGATGGTCATAGTGGTAATTTAAATAATGCTGAACTCTATGATCCATCAACCGGTACTTGGACAGCTACTGGTAGTATGGCTAATGCGCGGACTGCTCATAGAGCATCTGTATTATCAAATGGAAAAGTATTAGTTGTTGGTGGAGTTGTTTTAAATAGTGCTGAGTTGTATGATCCATCAACAGGTATTTGGGCAACTATTGGTAACATGACTGACGCACGATTTGATCACACAACATCTGTATTATTAAATGCACTAGTATTAGTTACTGGTGGATACAATGGTAGAATTCCTTTAAATAGTGCAGAATTATTTTCATTATTTCATACAAATTAACTTTCAATCGTTTTATTCTTTTTTCTTGAAAGTAGTCCACATTCAAAATAATAGTTTAATTAGAATAACTGGCCTCTTATGATGTCCACGAATTGTTTCTTCTATACCTTTACTGAGTTGTCTCATACTTTAATATTCGATTCCAATTAAAAATAAATATCTATGCTTTTCTACCCTTATATATTATTTTATTATAATTAACAACCCTAAAAGATAATCTAAGGCACAATCGATAGTTATATCAGATATAAGATGTAATGAGAATGAGAATATTAATATTTATGAGTTAAGCAAAATACTGGCATCCAACTTTCCATATTTTAACGAAAGAGAATAGACAATAATTTGATTTATACATAATATTTCTCTCTGATCGGTAATTATCTTCTTGTGAGTCTTAAATTACTTGATTAGTGTAGAATATCTAGTGAGAAGTTCTGTTGAAATATCAAGATAAAACTATACACACAGCTACTTTTTCTTTGTCATATTGATTTATTCTACAAAGTATGAAATTGTTCAACGTTCGCTTAAGATCATAATATGAATCTTTCGGTTATAATATCTTATGAATTCGTATTTATGTTAGCAAAGATATTTTTCATATATTATTGTTTGTGAATAGTTCATCTCATTTCATTATCAAGTAGTTCAGAGAAATAAATAATAGGTTTGTGGTAGATTTAGTAAAATATCTGTTTTATTCGTAATATAACTGAGTGTTATTATATTCTACTATAGTATCATTTTCACAAATATGAAATGAATCTTATGTCATTTATAGTTTTATTATTAACGTACAAACTTTCACAATAAGTAGATACGATTGTTAGTCTATTCCATTCAAATGACTGTCGATGTGTATGATATAAAATCTCTGAGGAAGCGTTTCAAACAACATTAAGATATAGACGGAAAAATTCCTAAAACTCAGCTAAATATAGTCCTCAAACGCTTGATTGTTGTGATCTTTAGTAAAGTATATGTTGCTAATGTTAAAATAATCGAAGATATCCATCACTATCGATCTGAACACCTGTGAAATCAATAAACAATGGCTACGATAGTAATATTTTGTCTGTTAAGAATATTTGATTGATTAAAAATCATAATTCATTCAAAGAGAAAAATAAATTCAATTTCATGAATAACTACAAGTACAAAACAGTAAACTTCATATGAAACAACTATTTTAGATATATATTTAAATATGTACACTTGTATATTGACCTTTATAATTAAGTATCAATAATGATCGTGGTTCAATATTACCTACTTCACAATCAACATCTAAAAAATATATAGAACTTAGATTAACATTCTAGTGTTAACTTACATGTAATCTTAACAATTGTTAAAAACCAAGTTTTCTTTCGATACGACATTACGAACTATATTATCATTTCGAAAAATATTTTATTCATCATCATCAAATAATCCTAACTTACTTCATGTCCTTCCCGATAATTAAATCTACTATCATATACACGTAAAAATCTTAGTCCTAAATCAAACATTGTTATTGCTTCTCTTCGTTTAATAATATCAATGATTTTTTCAAATGTATTTTTTCTATAGAAAACAAAATCAGATAAAAATTTTACTATTTTTTTCTTTTCTATTCTTATACTTTCGTTGAACATGTAAGAGAATTGATTCGATAACACAACGTCGACGAACAGGTGCTGCTGCTAGTGGAACAAATCTATAAAATTTCAATAACTATTATATAAAAGAGAACAAAAGTATACATATAGAACTTATAAAAGAGAACAAAAGTATACATATAGAACTTACGAAGCATATCGAACGCTGCATGTACTATTTTGTCGACTTCGACGTGATGCAACTGGTGGTGGAGCTAAACTATTTAATTCTGAACGTGAACCGTAATCAACAATATCTTCTGGAATACGTTCTTCTTTTGAAATAGATGGTAATGTTAGTTTATTTTGATTTGAAAGTTGTTCTAAATCTAAAAAAATAAAAGAATTATTTTGTTTTGTTTCTTTCTTTGAATTTTATCAAACCAGAAAATTGTTCATGTAATGGTTTAATGACAGTTACAAGTTGTTCCTGATAGTTTGAAACTCGAACACGATTAAATACAAGATTTGAATATTCTGCAGGAAATCTTTGCCAACATCCAGTTGTAATATCATAACGATAAATACAATTATAACCAATAACGTTTCGTTGTTTATCTTCTCGATTTTCTCCGATAATTACCGTTCTTTGTTCAGAATTTTCTTGAGGTTTATCGTATACAAAATAAGTGAATCCGTTTTGCTGCTTGATTGTTAACCCTTCCATCGTTCGATTAAGGGTGTGGGTGTGGGTATGAGTGTGGGTATGACTGTTGGGGTCGATTCGAGTGTCTACTCACTCTATTCACACTCATACCTTCAAAATTAGTTCTTTGCTGAATGTTCTATCCGATTGTAATCCACTACTGGATTTTATTAGTTTTTAGTATCTTGTAGATGGGTGTGGGTATTGGTGTTTTCTCCTAGTCATTCCCACACCTACATCCTCACCCTCATGAGATAGCTATTATCCTACAGTTATATAGTATGTCAAAGATCTAATCTTTTTTCAGGCTTAATTTATTGTAGAAATATTAAAATAATCCAAGCAAAAAAAGTATTATTTCTAGTTCATATCTATAGATTTATAGTATCTCATAGGGGAGTCCTAATTATAAGATGACACACCAGCGTCGGTTTTGTTCTTCATATTCTTTTTGTCGTTGTTTAATTTGAGAAGCTAGCTCTTTAACTTTTGCATCAAATTCCCTTTGTTTCTGTCTTTCTTCTTCTTCTAGTTTTTTCAATTTCTCAATTGGCAAAATGATATCATTACGCTTTTGTTGGACTGTTGGTTTGCAATTATTCATGGTTTGAAACATCAACCGACGCAAATTAGACCTGTGTACTACATTATTCGTTTGGATGTGCTCAAGAAAACATACATTGATCTTCTGCTTCTTTAGTAATTTGTGTAACCTTTCAATCATTTCACCTTCATAAAGATTTGAGCGACGAAGAGGTGGCTGATTGATAATGAACATCAGCGATTCGAACTTAAACTGATAGGCATCATTCAGAACATTGAAAACAACCATATCTTGAGTATCTAAGCGTCCTGTACCTGCAACATTCAATACAAAAGCAACAACAGAAAAAGGATGTTGTTCAAAAGCTTTTTGAATTTCTGCTTTGTTTTTCTGTATAGCGTCTTGATCGTTTTCAATAAGTCCTGGCACATCAAATATAACATAAGTTTGTCCGAGATACTCGAATTCTCTCGACTCTGTCCTATGAGTAACACTGGACACACTAATTTTATCCACAAAATCATCATGATTAAGTAATATATTTGCAAGAAATGATTTACCAACACCTGATTTACCAAGAAGAATAATACCAATGCTTTGAGCATTCCGCTCCGACGATGAAAAATAATAGAAGTTCTCGGAGATTTTCATGAATATGTAATTGATGTATAATGCCATTCTATAAGGACAATCAAAATAATGATGAAATGGTTATCTAAAATAAAAGATCGAATTAAAAATATCTAAAATACCCTTATAATAAGCGAAACAAAAAATATTTACTGCTCGTATGGTCTTTGATAAAAAAAGAAGTCAGATAGAAATGAAAATTGTGAATATTTGTTTTTCTTATCTCTATGTTTAAAGTAACGCTATACTATTCTTTACTTTTACCAGTGTAAACTAACACTAATAGAAATATCTTGTGTTTTTAAGATGGAAATATGACGATATATTCCAACTAGATAATTAGAAAAACGCATTGCAAAATTTAATTTTTTAGTTTTATTGAGAATAAAAAGTCACATTCAATTTTATAAGAACAGTTCTAATCTATATTAGAAAAACATTGAGTGTTACATGAAACTATAGTGAATATGCTAGCATGTGATTCTACACCAAAGCAGTATACTAAGATATGTTCGATATGAAAGTTGTTTAGTTCTCGGGTAAACTCTGGAAATACCAGTTTAGTTCTTGAGAAGCATATTTACATTAAAGATAAATGAAAGCAGTTACGTTGCAAGTTATCATATATTTGATAAGAGTTGTCTTCTATAATAAACAGAATATAAGTATATAACTTTCATCAGAAGAAAATGTAAAAAACGAGAACAATGAATTTTGAAAATATATCATGATTCAAAAGAAGAAAAGAAATGAGAGACAAGACCTAAGAACACGTTAATATTTTAACTATCTTGAGGGTAATGAGATAATATTAACATCCGTGTCCTCAATCAGAATATTTTTATATCAATTTGTCATTGACAAATTGTTAAATAAGTCAATATCTTTGAAATAATTTAAGATAATGAACTTGAAGGTGACGGTGGATGAGAAGATCTAATGTGTACGCAAACCCACATCCTCAAAAAAATCTGTAAGAATTATATTTTACTAGTTGATCAAATCAAAAATTCGTCTTTTTCGAAATGATGGTTGATAAAAGAAGGATGATTCGTATTCCAACCTACAGTATTGTTAGGGGGGGCGCTAGTGTATGATCTATTCTTTCGTTTCTTTTCTTTTCTTTTCTGTTATCTCTCTACTTTATTCGTTCTTCTTTGATGTTATATATATGTACACGTTCTTCGATTCGTTTGATTCAGTCGAATAAAGAGATAGTGCGTAAAAGCACGTACATACACATTTTCTCTTTCAAATTCTTCTTCATAGACAACGATCATGAATGTAAAATTGAATCTTTCTTCTATAATCGAGGGTATATAATTGGTACGAAGAAAAACAAGTTTATTTGATGCTTTTTATATCGTTGCAGTATAATCATGAAATTCGAATTACTACCGAATGAAATTTTTATTGAAATCTTTGAATATCTTAGTACATATGATATTTTTTATTCATTTAATCGATTAAATAATCATTTTAATCAAATTATTGGAAGTATTCCATTACATTTAAAATTTACTAATATTCAAAAACCATTATTTGATAAATTTTGTCAACTTTTATTATCAAATCCTGAATTTAAAAATCAAATTTATACATTAGAATTATCAAATAAAGAAACACCTGATCAAATAAAAACATTCATATCATTTTTTTCATTTCATGATTTTCATTATCTTCATTCATTAACATTAATTCAAATATCTGATAATCTTTTTCAACATATAAAATTTATATTACCACAATTACATTCATTTCATTTAATTGATTCAAATGATATTTATTTAACTAATTCATTAATATCTCATTTACAAATTTTAACAATTCCAACATTATCATCAATTGATAAATTATCATCATCATCATCAATTACAAATCTTACTATATCTGGTTGTTCACTTGATCAATTATTTTCTTATGTATTCAAATATGTACCAATGTTAAATCATCTTACTATTGAATATTTTTCCAATTATTATAGTTGGGAAAAAAATTCTTTCGATAATCATGAATACAAAGCTATTCATTTGAAAGAATTAAATATATTTAATTCTGAATATAAATTTCAAGATATTCAAAACTTACTAAAATCTACACCAAATTTAATAAATTTGAAAATATGTGGAACATGTGATTTAGATATGATTGATGGAAATCAATGGGAAAATTTCATAAGATCTTCATTAGTTTATTTAACTAAATTTCAATTTATTTTTAAATACATATTTAAAACAAGTATTGATCATATTTATGATAAATTAAATCAATTTCAAAATAATTTTTGGATAAAACAACATCAATGGTATTCAGAATATTCTCTATCAACATCTTCTGTAATAATCTATACAATACCATATATATTAAATTATTATAAATTAGAAGTCGATTCAAAAAAGTATTCAAATCAATTTTTAAATACATTTGATAATGTTAAACATTTAATATTATATCATAAAGTAAATAGAGAATCATATGAATATTATTTTACGAATATTAAATCATTAATAATTATACCACCGGAAAATAATTCTTCTTTGTTATTTAATATGGAAATTTTTAGATCATTAAAATTAATGATTAATTTATCGAATATAGAACATTTAGGAATATCATTTAATTTTCAAATTGAAAATTCACGTGTATTATTAGAAATTTTACAATCATTACCAAAACTATCATCATTAATGATTAATTTTCGTAATTTTATACGTTTTACATCGAATAAAGAATTATGTGAATATTTAAATAAAACGATTAAGAAATTAGATATTTATAAATATTATTCACTTACTTTTAAATATTATTATGAAAAGACAGATTTGTGTCAAATATTTTCGAATATTGAACAATTTAAATGTAATATTGATGAAATACATGATTTATTATATTTATTAAAACATTTACCAAAATTAACAAAATTAAACGCATATTTCCGTAAAATAAAGGATTATGATCGTTTTCGTTGTTGGTTTAAAGATCAAACAAAAAAATTAAATCTTCCATTTGATATTAAATGTATAGACACATATGAAAGTGAAGTATCGGTTTGGATTAATAGAGAAATATAAACTGATTTTTTTTAAAGTTTAAATAAAATTAAAAGAACAAATAACATTTTTTCTAAATCTATAATAATAATAGATAGAAATCGTTGTTGATTAACATATGTTTATTTTACCAAGAAGAGCATATTTGTATCTGATGTATCAATTAATTTAAGATCGATAACATAAATTATTGAAGGATAAACTAAATAATCTTGTTTTATTAATGTTGTAATTATGCCGACAAGATGAACATGATAATCAGTCAATACTATGAGTGTCTGATAACCGTGCAACATTCAGGTCATGACCGATTGACCGATAACGGTTGTTCGGTCGTAGCACTTCTTCAGTGGCGGATCTAGAAAGTTTTGAAAAGCGATGCGGAAAGGGAGGGGGATGCGGTACATCCCATGTCTTCAAAATCGTCAAGGTTTGGGCGAGAAATCTCGATTTTTCAAAATATCAACGATTAATCGCGATTGTGACAAAAAATCACCGATTATTCGCGATTAATCGACGATTTTTATTACATTACTATAAATGTGCGACGAAGTTCGCATTTTACTTAATCTATTATATTCTGACTAAAAGAAAGGAAAATAAGAATTCTGAATACTTTCTTAAGCTGCAACTGATCTAATAATAGATGTCACATGCTATAGAATAGAAGTCTAATGGTAATTTTTTTACTGATTGATAAATTCTAACCAATAGAAAAAAAGGGGTTGCTGCTTGTTAGTGTGATATACATGTGCGTGTATATTTTCCTATTATTTTTACCATCACTTAACTGTATCCATTGACTTTTCATTGCATTCATAAACTTATCTTACTCGTTAGTAGTTTGGATTGATCACATCTATTTTATCTCCTCTGTTTGAAAATGACTTATTCTCATGCTATACACTCAAAGAGAGTGATAGAACAAACACAAAAGAGAAACAAAAAAAAATTCAAGTATCAATAAATGATTTACAGCAGATCTGATAGTGATACAGATTTAGTGAATGACTTTCTATATCAATCATTAGATGATGAACCATTACCATCACTACCATAACCTACAGCAGCAAATCATTTCGACACAGAAGTAGTGGCGTAAATATACTGGGGTCAGATGGCGCTTAACCCCATCACCGAGTGTTTAAGCCCCATCACTTGGGTTTTTTAGTTACTGAACTTGTCAATCAAAAAACTCAAAAGACTAGATAGTTATAGGGCTGAGCCCCATCATCCTTAAATTTCTGTTTATGTCACTACATAGAAGATTATGTGAAAGATCATTATTCAGCAGATCAAGATGGTAGCGGGAAGGTGGATAATTACAATACGTTAGAGTTAGATTTAGAGGCGGCGCCAGAATTTTTACTTTAGGGGGGCTAAGCCCCCCTCAAAAAAATTCTGAGGGGCTCAGCCCCCTTAGATTTATGTTTTTGTTAGAGAGTCATCACTTTTTTACGAGATTTTTAAAAAATCTGAGGGGGCTCGAATGATTTCTGAGGGGGCTGAGCTCCCGCCAGCCCCCCCTTGGCGCCGCCACTAGTTAGATTATACATCACCTCCGTATTCACATTCAACTATAAAAACCGGTAAAGCTATTGAACGATTAATGACGTGAGGGTGGTTGTGGGTGTATGAAAAGAGATAAATAGTCACACCCTCACAAGGTATATATGTTTATAATCTTTCAATTTTTGGACATGTTTTTATACTTTCTTTTTTTAGAACCAGGAGCAAATCAGGCACGAAGAAAATTAACTACTACATTGCTTACACCTAGTTCGTTTGAGGGTGTGGGTGTGGCTGTAGCTATTACATGCACCGCTGATCCACATCCACACACACACCCACACCCACACCCACACCGGGATCATCAACAACATTCAATAACAATAGTAAAATAAATCAAAGATCATCACCACAATTCAACAATAATGTTAATATTAGTAATGCTAGTAATTCAATGTTAATGAATAAATCAAAACAACAAATAGATTTAAATGATCAACGAAATAATGATTCTAACTTTGTTAATATGAATGATTTAATTAGAAATAATAGTAATAATAATGGTTTTACAACACACAATGGTCATTGCACCGAAACACCAAATAATCACCAACATAATGGAAATGAACCAATAATAATTGATCATGATTCATTAACTAATAAAACTAAACAAAATAAAAATGTTTCATCTATTTAAAAACACATAGATAAAACAAAACATAATATGGACTGGGAAAATTGTAAAGTGATGTGCTCAGAAACAACACAAAATAAGCTATTGATAAAAGAATCTTTATTTATCATAGCTTATGAACCAGAATTAAATCGTACAATGCATTCCGTCCCTTGTACATTTTTTCCGAAGTAGTTAAGAGACATCAGTTACCCAGTTAATTTACCATATCATATAAATGTTTCTACTAAATACATGCACGTGCATATGTACATATATATATAATTATATATATTCGTTTCTCTTTTCTTTTTCTCTCTTATCTATTTGTCTCGTCTTATCTATTTTGTCTCTAATTAGTTCACTTAAATGAATTTTAAAAAAGCCGCTGTTATTTTATCAACTTTATTGACAACTGGTGAACATAACCATTTACTCAAACCGGAAAATCTGAAATTGAAATAGTTTCGAACAATGCTGAAAGAACGTGTTATAAATGAAACAGTACCAATACAAAAAATATATGACGAAGAAATTATGAAAGCGCATTTCTCATCAGAAACTCTTCCATCTGTTCCATTGGTTTATAAGATACGTATGTTTATAATCGTTCAATTTTCGGACATGTTTTTATACTTTCTTTTTTTAGAACCAGGATCAAATCAGGCACGAAAAAATTTAACTCCTACATTGCCTTCATCGAGTTCGTTTGATATTCCTGATGCTTATCAAAGTACAAATTCTGACGAAACTTTCTTAATTTATGATAAACTGGTTTCCTGTAAAAAAAGAGTATTAATTTTTGCTAGTCCAAAATAATTACAATTATTATTCGATAGCTCTACAATTTTTATGGATGGAACATTTTTAACAACACCACCATTTTTCAATCAAGTTTTTACTATTCATTGTTTGAAATTCGATTGTGGTACGGTATACATCTTATTTCATAAACAATCAATTAAATTTTCTGTTTTTCAGATTTACGATGTGTCTTTGCACTTTTACCTGATAGAAAGGAAGCAACGTATCAACTACTATTTCAAGAATCAAATGTTGTAGCTGTATCTATGGGTCAAACTTGGAGGCCTCAACAAATCATGACAGACTTTGAAACCAGTTTAGTTCCAGCAATATCAGATTGATGATAATAGAGTATCTAATATTTTCATCACACAAATTTATGTTATATTGAGAGCCCATAGTGGATGTGGGTGAAAGCGAATGAAGAGAGACTATCTACACTCATAAACATCCACCCTAGTTTCAAAACTAGCTGACAACAAGCAAAACAAAATTATAAAGAATAGCAGCAGAACTTCAAATGAATTTAATGCATCGATAAATTTTTTTAAATTTTTTTGTTATCCATTTGGTTTCGATATAATATAATATACGTCTTGCAGGCAGCCGAATTAGAAAAGGAAATGATGAAAGTACGACAACAATTGACCGAACAGCAAGAAGAAGCAAGGGCTTGCACAAATCCTCAACTACAAGCGGTTTATGTTGCAGTTGTTTCACGAACACTTGGTGACGTATTGGACACCGAAAAAGAATAGCGCAACGTGCAAAAAGCTGACGAAAAAAAGGTAAGTGTTAATAACCAAGGTTTCTTATTTCTTTACATTATTATTCCCTGCAATGATATCATCAATGATTAAGAAGAGGAAGAGACAGAATGAAAGAATATATCTAGTTGTATGCAGTAGTATCGTTTAATAATTGAGAAACATATGAAGAATTGCCAAAACTTAGATATTATTTCTGTGCTACATCGTAGCAGTTATACAATTAAGCATTTAATTCGTCACGATATTAACTGCATTACAAATAAATAAAAAACAACTAATGTATCTAAATACGTATATATCTCGATAATCTCAGTTTCGATTTAAGCATGTAAATAGATTGAAACCGACTACATAGTAATAATAGATCAAGATGCATTAAATCATGATAAGAGACGACAATTGATTAATATATAATAACAGATCAGAACTCATCAGAGTATCTTTTCAAAAATAAACACAAACTTTGAATTATCAGAAATGAATTAAAATGGATTTTGGTTCATTTAAAAGTCTAACTATAAGTTGACTAAAACTGCATCATTTTTATTGATGTTTGTTTTCAGCGACTCGATTAAGATTACATTTTCTTCCCTTTCTTTCATATGGAAAAGAGAGAATGATAATATGATTATCGATATAATTTTTTTTAGTTCAACTACAGCAAAAAATAAACAACGAAAAAATAATTATTATTCAAATAAATGTGATTTTCACATTTTTTCTCTTCCCAGGTCAATGATTCCTGAAGCAGTATCCTAGAATTGATTCTGGGTGGTACCGAACAGAGTTATTGCTTCCATGAAATCTCTGGAATGTCACGGAACCGGACGTTTCCGTGCCGGATTGTTCGACCTGGCTTGTTTAGTACTTCTACAAGATTTTCTTTTTCTCTTTTTTAGTATTTGTACAAAGTATTTTTTTTTGTTCTTGTGAGAACCTTTATCTTTTTTTAAATAAAATCATTTCGTTGAATTAGTTCTTTGAATAACATGAATACAAACATCTTTTGATTCATAAAATTTCTCAGAATTACGAATAAAGAAAAACTGAAATTGAAATAGTCATATAATCAACCTTGAGGGTATGGGTGTGGATGTCTCTTATCGATCTAGACTCACAACGACCCTCAGGATCATCGATTATCTATGGCTCACTAGCTTTCACGTCTAAAGCAATTTGTCAGTTGGGGATCATTCCTTATAAGTATACCTCTACTTAAGTAAAAAGTATGAAAAGTACCAGGTATTGCACTAAGTATTCTGTCACTGATTATAATCAGTAGAGCGCACTGTAATATTTCAAAATATCATTTAAATTCTTCGGATTAAGTTCAAATAGTATAAATTACACTTACTTTTAAATAATATCTTACGACGATTAAAGATGAAGAAGAACGAATGAATGTATTACCTGTATATCTAAACGACTACGAAATATTGAATAAAACAATGAGAAGCAACCGATCTTATATTCTCCTTATTGCAGTGATCGCCGATTCATTGGTCGTTTTTGCTTTACCTTAACGAAAAAAAAGCAGTCCAGCAGAGAGAGTCACGTATAATCAACAATATTGTTTGGTAGTGCGCATAATGAATGGACGTGGGTATGAATGAGAAAGAAAAAGTCCCTTCACAGCTTCAATTGAAAAAAATCCAACGGCAATATTTCATTGAGAATAAAAGATTTCGATCTGAAATTATTCCTATATATAAGTCTCATGATTCTTAGAATATCCGTAGAGCTTCAATGCGAAGACATGTTTCCTTCTTGAAATATTTAATTCTCAAGAAAACTCGATATATGACCCTACTGCCAAATATGATTATTTCTTGCGACTCTTTATGTTGGAAAGGAAACATCCGTGTGCGCTGAAATTTTTAGAGTATTCTAAGAATCATGAGGTGTATTTATGGAAAAAAAGGTCGGCAGAAATTCTATCATTCACAATTTGAATTCTTGGACTTTCAAAGTCCCAAAATCCGCTTTTCCCCTCTTACACAATTATCACACACGCTTTTTTTTCTGTTTCCTTTTAACAAGACTTTTCACGCGTTATTTGTTTATAGATAAGGCTACATAACAATATCATCACCATTATGTCAGTAAAACACTTTTTCAACAGATTATTTTTAACATGAGGACTACAACAAGCATTGAATCAACAACATGGTTTGATCGGTTACCTACTGAAATTATTTTTACAATATTTGATTATTTATCAAAAAAGGATATCATTTATACATTTCTCTTTTTCAGTCAACGACTTAACAATTTATTATTACGAAATCAACATTATATAAATCATTTACAACTACCAACAAAGAATTTTGATACATGGAAAAATATTCTTTCAGTTATTGGACCTCGAATAGAATCATTAGACATAACTTCAATTGATTTATCTATTCCATTAGAATATTTTTTAAATCTAAAATCGATAATTATTTCCACACCTTATGGTCTCCCAAATGATCAAATGAAATTAATCTTTGAAAGTAAATCCTTTACACAACTACATTCGTTCAAAGTAAAAGAAAATCTAATATATCCCACCCAATCATTTCTTTCCCGTTCAATCAATCAAGATAATGTATTAAGGAAAGTTTTCAATAATAAAAGTGTATTACAAAAATTTTATTATCCACGGTTTATAAAATATGCTAAAAATAATTTAACCAGTTATGAAATTAATTTAAATTTACATTCATTAAAACTGATTTTGAATGAGTTTCGAGATATATTTTCATTAATTTCATTTACACCAAATTTAGAATATTTAAATATTACTACAGAACAGAGATGTCCATCGCGGTTGAGAATCTGCCGCTGCCGCGCTGCGCCGATATTGTAAAAAAGCTAACGCGCCGCTGCCGCGCCGCGACTAGAATAAAAAGAAGTGTGCCGCACCGCGCTCCTATAAAAAGTTGCCGCTACCGCGACGCTGCCGCGATGGCACTTTTAAAAATCTTGCAATTCCCGAGGTTGAGAATGGTTTAAACGAGAGCTGTTGCTGCTAATCGATGAGATTCGTCTAGCTTTACATTGCAGAATACGTCAATGTTGAGATTATGTGTAAATTTCGTAATTTTTAAAACTGTTTCCTGAAAAAGCTGCCGCTGCCGCGACAGTATGATAAAAGTTGCAGCCGCGCCGCTACCGCGCCGCCGTAGTTTCGAGAAAAAATCTGCCGCTGCCGCGCCGCCATGGACATCTCTGCTACAGAATTAAGCGGTACTTTTATAACACCAATCGAGAAAAGTAATATCAAATTAAAACAATTCTATTTAACCTTAAAACAATCTTTTCATCAAAACAATTTGAATGAATTAATTAATTGAATAAAACAATTTTCATCATCATTAACTTGTTTATCACTCAATTTAATTGATTGCACTGACATAAGGGAAAATGAAATTCCATTTAATAGTGTAAAACTTCAACAATTATTGGAATCAATGATCAAGTTGAAACAATTTCATCTTTATGCTACGTTAAATGTGTATGATTCTTCTCGTAACATTTTATCTCAATTTCAAGATCGATATTGGTTTGATCATAAGTGGACATTTGGAACGCATGGAACATATTTTTATACATTACCATTTCATTTCGAGTACCTTCATAATTTTTGTGGTTTTGATAATATCAAATCTTCGAATTCTGAAGTTCTACTAACTAATCCTCGAATATGGTATACTGTTAAATATATTGATTTGTATTATAGATCAACTTATGATATTAACTTTCTGAAAGAACTCAAAATGGAAATGCCTAAATTAATTTTTATCAAGCATCGTTCATTCTACAAGAAAAATAAGGCTGAAAAAGAAATTGAAGATTTGTACGTAGATGAAAATGAAGAAGTGAAAAATCATATAACATTGTATAATATGACGACTATTCAATTTGATCATGGATCAATTGAAAATAGAAAAAAATGGTTAATTAATGCATTACCTAACTTAAATCATTTGATTTTATCTACTATTGATTTACCTTCTCCAGATAGTCAATCAGCTGATCTACTTAATAAAAGAATTCGACGATTAGATATTAATACAACAAATTCTTCACTTAAACAATTAACAGAAATAAGTTATGTTTATTTTTCAAATGTTGAACATATATATTTTGAATTGTTCTATGATCCACAGAGAAGATCTCAATGGTATACAGATATTGTTAGAAAAATATTGAAGAATTTCAAAAGTTTAGAAAGATTAATAATTCGTAGTTTTCCAGAGAATGGAAATATCAGCAATGCTATGACAAGAGATTTGATCAACATTTTTGAATATTACGATATGATAGAAATTAAGAAAAACTTTCAAATGAAACAGTTTGGCGAATGGATCTTATTTTCAAAAGATGGATGGAATGATAGCAAGGTTCAGAGTGGTACACTCTCATCCATTTTAAGAAAATTCAAATTTTTTAAATTAAGAAAATCTTAAAATAATTTTCCTCATAATTATATGCTTCTATCTAACCAAGATATTCAATTGATTGCCAATTTTATTTAAATATATCAAATAAAATTAAAAGATACTGCTGTTTTTCAAAAAAATTGTTTAAATCTAATGCAGGAAGTGGGTGTGAACGTCTCTTGTTGATGTAAATTCACACCCACACCTTCACCCACGCCCCATTTATATTTCGGGCATGACTTGATTGTTTCCTGTTCTTGGCTGCTTCCATACATTAGAATAGATCTTGAATAAGACATGAAGAAATTGTTTCCGGAAACGTTCTGATACACAAATATAAATATAGAAAGGGCTCTAGAATAAAATAATTATAATAAAAGTGTAATTAAAAGTTCATTGATACTTACTGAAAAATATGCGTAGTAAAAAGGATTAATTATAGTCAAAGCAAATTGAAGTTTTTCTTGAATATTTGAATCATTAGCAAGATTTGGATTTGTAGTAATAGCATTTATAGTTGTATATGGTAGTAAAGTAAAGATATTGACAATAACTTGTACTAAAACCATAGTTGTTAATTGTTTATCTAATTCACGTCGTATGAGTGGAATAGTACGATGAGACATCTGTTGTAAATTATGATAAGCTAATAATCCAAATAAAGATGCAATAATCATTGGTAAATATCCGATTAAAACAACAATAAAAAAATTATTACGATAATTATTAAATATTGAATTAACACTAACACAAGACGTTTGATTTGCCGACGATGATAGAACATCATTAAAATATATTAGATATGGAATTCCATGTAATATCCAAATAAGAGTACTTATAAGTACTAGACGATACGCTAATTTAATTTTACATAATTGTTGCCAGTGAACCCGAGAGCAAGTTGCTAAATATTGATCAATTGTTGCCAAACAGAGACATGTTAATGACAATCCTGAACATAATTGAGAAATATATATTCGAAATTTACAAAAAAATAATGATATTGCTGTTAAATCTACACCTATCAGAGCATTTATAATACGTAAACTAAAATAACCACAAAATAATTGACCAATATTAAGAATAGACATAATAATTAAATAAAATGCACATGAACTTTGTCGAAATGTATGAAGACTAAGAAATACGATAAGATTTAATATTCCTCCTACAATACCACTAATAAAAACTGGCATTCCCAAATATATCGTAACTTGTTTTCCAATAGTAGTCAATATCGTTGACATGTTTAATAAGAAAGTAAAACTAGACGAATGAATAATAATCTTATCATTCTTTTCTATTTCAATAGAATAAATTTAAAAAGTTCGAATAGTTGATTAAGTGCGTTCACAACTATAATCATCTGACTTCATTAGAATGCATTATGTACTCATAAATTATCTATATTGAATCTCATTTTTCTATGGATTTTAAATAAAATGTATCCTGCTGTTTCTTTAAAACAACTAATTCATGATGATGATCATATTCTTTCTGAGTCGCTGCTCTGATGAAAATGTTATTCAAATATGTACTTGCAGTACAGACTTTGAGTGTAATGATGTTTTTTTTTCTTATAAAATACAATCAGACATGATACACCTTCGGGCGAAATATATGATTTAATATTTTGAACAAAAACTTTTTTTTGTTAATTACAAGTCTACAGAAGAAAACAGTAGAAATTTCAATTAAAAGTTACAAATTATTTTTTTTACATATACAAAATTTATATTATCAAACTTATAGCTATGTCATTAAGAATAGTTGGAAGAAGAAAAAAATTCCATGAAAAAAAACCCAGAATGATGTTTAGAGAAAATTGTAATTGCACAACATACACGTTATATTTAAAAGAATGAAAAAATAAAAATAACATTTCTCATTTTTTTTCTTTCTTTCTTCCATGCATTAGCATTTTGAAACACGAGCAATCTTTTTTTGCAACAACAAAAAACACAATATGGCACACGAAATAAGGTATCATAGTTTTTAAATTTTATTAATTAGTTTTAATTTGTGAGTTGCTACTATTTTAGTGAACGTCATTATGACGATTGGGAGTCAACAGTTTATTGTTCGTTGAAAAATGTCTTTACACCCTCTATTGGTCGTATCGTTGGTGATAATCTTCGAAGAATATTAGGTATTACTCATATTAGTGGAGATGAAATGGCTCAACAAACTCCATCATATGATTTTACATGTACACGTAGACAAGCAAATTGTATTCGTGATCGTCTTGTAGAGGTCACTACTAAAGCATACTTACACATTTGGTTTTCAATGCAATCAGATCCATTTCATTATATCTATAATAGACGTTCAATGTTAGCAGATGATCCAACTAAAGTCAATGTTTATCCAGTACAGTCTCATTTTGGTTCAATGTATACGCATAGTACTTTTAATATACATAGTGAAGAACATCCTCCTTTTTATGATCTTTGCATATTGAAATGGAAAAATGAACCTGAAACAATACGTATTATGTCAAAAGATAAATCAAAACAAATATTTCTACCAATTAAATGGATACAGAAACCGATACTTATTAATACAAAAGATCGACCATGTGTTGTTTTAATGTTAAAATATTCTGTAAAAATGAAAAGAAAAGTTTCAGACAATGGTCAATTTCGATATGAAAGGTAATCTAAATGCATTTTTATTGTAAGGGTATGGGTGTGGGTGGTCTCTCTTCATTCGCCACCACCACTCACACACACACCCGTCCACCCAAAACCAAACCCACATCCCACACCCTCAACTTTGATGATAAATCTGTTTGTTTTTATTTAGAGTATGTAATATGAATGATGGTGGATTTGAAAAAATTGTATCAAAAAGTTCGGATATTCTACTTACATTCCATGATCCAAGTCATACGTATGCATTTCTCGAAGAACTAACTAAAGAAACAGATGAATATCATGATAAATTTACGATAAATTTTGTTACACTTGAAAAAGAATTTATAAAAGAGAATAAACAACTGTTTGTTTTACCACCATCAGCATCTCATAAACAACAATATGCATTGAAAATGCTTTATTCTCTTGGTTATTTATTTCAAGATAAATATGGTGGACAACGTCATAGTGAATTTATTGATTATATTAAGAACGATTCATTTAATGATATGTGTTATTATCTTAAAGAAAAACTTGAAGAAAATCATTGTTACAAAGTAAAACGTATTTTTATTGATTTTGAAGCTTATATGAAAGAAAAGCGTAAAGAAGAAAAGCCACTTAATGTAAAAAAACCGACATATTGTTTTGGTTGTATTTCAATAACACCATTACGAATTCTTTATCAAAAAATGGAAACATCTATTGGAAATCGTGCATTAAGAATGCCACAATTAAGTGGTGAAGATAATTTTTTATTAATACATATTCGAGAAGAAGATAATAAAATATTAAAAGATTTTGATGAATCAGTTACATGTCGACTTAAATCAAAAATGTTAAATGGAATTAAAGCTATGAATAAAACATATCGTCTATTTGGTACATCAACAAGTCAATTAAAAGAAATGTCATTTTGGTTTCTTGCTAATTCAGAAAATAAAAGTATTGAAGAATTATGGAGAGTTTTAGGTGATTTTTCAAGTATTAAAAATGTTGCTAATTATGTTGCTCGAATTGGTCTCTATTTTTCAACATCAAATGAAACTGACGTAAGAAGATTTTTTTATTAAAACATAGAACCTTTTTTTATCATTATTATTTCAACAGATTTCATTTAAATATATTGAAAACGCGACGTCAAATGAAAATTTTCTAGCAACAATGATCGATGATGTTGAAACGGACAATAAGAAATATTGTTTTACTGATGGTATTGGAAAAATGTCATGGGGTGTCGCTGGTTTAGTTGCAATAAAATTAGGTATTCCATTACAATCAAGATATGATATACCATCAGCTTATCAAGTTCGTATAGCTGGTTGTAAAGGCATGCTAGCTATTGATCCAGAATCTAAATTAGATCAATATTATATTAAAGTTAGACCTTCAATGGAAAAATTTAAATCTCAACATTGGATTTTAGAAATATGTGAACATAGTAAACCATGTAAGTTTGTTGTTTTAATTGTTAAATAGAATTATAAGAAAAAAATTTGTTTTTTGTTATTTATAGTAGAATTAAAATTTAATAATCAAGTTATTATGTTATTATCCGATTTGGGAAATAGAGATGCAGTTTTTATGTCATATCAAAATGAAGCTTTAGGGACTTTATCACAACAAAATCAGAATGAACAATTAAGAAAATTAAAATATTCATGTACGAAAGATGATTTATTAAAAAATAGAATACCATTACCATTAAATGAAGCACGAAATATGTTTGGAGTTGTGGATGAAACTGGTATGTTAGAATATGGTCAAGTTTTTATTCAATATAAAGATCTTGATTCAACAAATGAATATCCATATAATGTTGTAGAAGGTAAATAAATAGATTCTCAATTAATTATTTTATTCGATTTCAATATCTAGGAGAAGTATTAGTAGCAAAAATGCCTTGTTTACATCCTGGTGATTTTCGAAAATTTACTGCTATTAATGTTCCTGCATTGAAAGCATGTATACGCGATTGTATTGTCTTTCCAAAAAAAGGACCACGACCACATCCAAATGAAATGTCTGGATCTGATTTAGATGGAGATCAATATTGGGTAAATTATCATAAACTTGTATGAAATTTCGATTTAATATGTTTTTATCATATAGGTCTATTGGGGTAATCGACTAAGAATTACAGCTATGGATGAACCATTATCATATGAACCTTCAGCAAAGAAAAAAGTGCCAAATATTACGAATGAAATTGTAATCGATCATATTATTGAATCATTTGGTGCTGCAAGTCAAGGAATAATTTGTGATGTTCACTTAGCTATTGCAGATTCTCATAAGGATCGTACAAGATCGAAGGAATGTAAAGATTTAGCTGAATTATTTGCACGTGCCGTGGATGCACCAAAAACAGGTGAAATTATTGATTTAAGA